GGCTGGGGAATTCTGGGAGTTGAAGTCCACACAGCTTGAGGTCGCTAAGGTTGAGAAACACTGCTCTAAAGGAAATGCTGGAGTAACTCTGCTGTTTGATAATGAGACTACTTCTGATGAAGCAGCCTAGGGACTCTCATATAAATCAGAATCACACTGCGAGCTACAAAATCCCCAAACAATTCCAATTTCTCAATGATCTGGTGAAAGAAGTGTTTTTGTCTTTTTTAAGGAGCTCATTTGTGTTTGGTGGGGAAATGACATCTCAGAAGTATACAGTCTTTTGTAGAGAGAGCTGCTGCTCAAAGATATAATAGTATATACAGAAAGATTGAAATATCTGGAGTCTCCTGCTACAATCCAGAACTCAGAGCCCTTAAATTTTTCCCCTCCAGAATCAAACTCCAGTTCAACAATGTTTGCTGAAAAACCAGTAGCTGCCATTAAAAAAAAAAAAAAAGACTCACATATAAAACAAAAATAATAACAAGGAAAACCAGACAGAAGGAGCAACCTTCACCATTCTCACATTACAGGAAAGAAAATGTACACTTTATTTATAAATAAAAGAGCGAAGAAATGACTCGCCCCTTTTTTAAACAAGAGTCTCTTTCCGCTTGATACTGAGCTGAGCTTTGTCCCTCGTCCTCCTGACCCCAGAATGCATCCTGTACAGCTTGACGTTCTTCGACTCTCCTGCCAGGTCCACTTCGGAGTTGTTCTCGTCTAGCTCCATGCGGAAACTGCCTGAGACGGAAGGCTGCCTTCTCTGGATCTTGGCGCTGGACCCAAAGGGGTGGTTCTCTTCCCCCTCCTCGCTCAGCTCTGGCAGCTCTTTCAGCTCAAAAGGCATGGGACTCGGCTGGAAGGGGGCAATGGCTGTCTGGATGCAGTTGAACCACTGCTGCTTGTGGAAAATATCGTTGGCCTGCAGCGTGTGGGACTGGCCTGAGGCAGAGTCCCTGAAGCGGACCCGGAAGATGTTTTTTGCTGGAAAGCAAGCAGGACAAGGACACTCTGATCAATCTCAAGCAACGGAATTCCACTCTGGAAGGCCGCATCAGGTTTGGCTCCTGTTTGGGAATCTCAGGCAGAAAGACCCTGACAGGGTCCTCAAGGGAGATGCTCTTTTAGGCACGCAGATCTAGAGGCTGTCTGACCCGTGAAAGAACATGCCAAAGTGAGGAAAATAAAAATGGGATGGGGAATGTCTGAGGAAACTAGGAGAGGACCCAACCGTCCAAAGAACACAATTAGCACAATGTTGCAGGATACAGCAGCTTCCCTGCACAGATCAGCCTCTGGGCAAAGGGCAGGCTAAAAAAGGAGGAGGGGGCTGGTTTCCTTCCTACCTTTATCAGAATTGCCAAATGCACCTCGGAACGATCCTCCCATTTTGACATCTCCATCTTGCAAATCTTCCAGCACCAGGTCCTGTACCGGAATCGGCTGGCGATACACTTGGTAAGAATGGCGCTCGTTACGTGTCACAGGCCGAGTGAGGACCAAGATTTCTTGGAAAAGGAAGATGTAGAGCTTCTGCAGAGAGGAGGAGAGATGAAGCTTTAAGTGAACTTCAGTCACAATCGGGGGTGGGGGAATCTCCCAAAGATTGTGACTGAAGTTCACAATATACATTCATACGCCTACTAAAAGATAGAATGGCTCTAGTTCAAAATAAGATTTTGGAACATTCTGCGACCACCAATAAATAAATAAATCCATCTTTTAACCACAAAGCATTTGCTTTAGCTATTTAAAAACCGTATATTTAATCCTGATATCTCAGGAGACAAGATCTGGAAAACTTCTGCCACCTAGAACAATCCAAGCAGAGCTCAACCAGACTGATACTCTAGTTCCAGACAAAGCAGCTTCATGGAGCACAATTCCCTATAGCACCTTTAATGCTCTAGTTCAGTGTTTTTCAAACTTGGCAACTTTAAGATGGGTGGGCTTCCGACTCCCATGGCTGGCTGGGGAATTCTGGGAGTCGGAAGCCCACCCATCTTAAAGTTGCCAAGTTTGAAAAACACTGTTCTAGATGGCCTGCAGAGCATAAGATGCGGCCAAATTGAGCCATGTATGTTCCTGCTGGCCTTCCAATGTCATCTGAATAAGGGAAGAAAAATGTTGGCAGTGCTTGCTAAAGAATCGATCTAAATAATTTCAGCAAAATCAGAAGAGGCCCTATTACGGAAGAGATTAAACTGACCTATGAGAAAATGCATTGTTTATAGCTGGGACAAAAGATGAAGAACCCTCTGAACTCCGTCTTCTATTTCCGCAAAGCAGCCTTAAGTAAACATTGACAGGAATGTCTTCAATTCTCTTCCCCCCTGAAGGCTGCAGGCACAGAAGGCCACTAAACGTGCACCATCTCACTGGGAATGCGTCTCCCCCACTGCAAAATGGATGTCTGAATTATTTCCCAGGCATCTGGAAACCGGGCAGCCTGCTTTCTCTCTCCCAAGGCAGCCTGGTGCCTTTTAATGGACTTCTTCACATCCATCCCAAACCTGGGCCCAAGTGGAGCCAGTGCTGACATGTGAAGAGACTGTCCTCTTTATTTTTTAAGAAAGAGAAGAAATAAAGAACACCTGCAAGCAGGCACTGAACCCTTATTTTTATTGGATTACAGATCTTCAACAAGAAGTTGAGGAAGAGAAGCTAGTCGACATTCTTTACTCGGCTCTTCCTCAAGAATTCTTAGCCCCCAGACGTCACAGCGTTTCCACATCTGTACTCACATGGCCATTCTTGTTCTTCAGCTCTCCGTGACAAAGCAAAACTTTGCTAGCTTCGATCCGCGGGTCCCGCTGCTTCTCATCAAGGTACTCCAGCTTATCGATATAGTACTGGCATTCAGATTCCCCTTTCTTCAAGTTGATGTCCGAGAGAACTCCTTGGATGATGGAGATCTGTGGGGAAAGCATCCGCCCACTGAGGCTGAGGGAGATGCAGGGGAGGAAGTGCCACTAGACTGAACGTGGCCCAAAGAACTCTCTTTTCTTGCGTTAAGTAAGACGTTTGGACAGTGGGCTGACTGGTACACATGGCCACAAGACACTAAAGAGATTATCTTTTTTATCTGAAAACCAACTGCCTCTTTTTAGATCTATTTTCACCATAAAGGAAATGATGAGCGAGGCTTCATGATGCTCATTTGTCAAAAACCCTTTCAGTTAATCTGATCAACTGCCCAACAAGGGGGCCCCTTATCTACATTTATGACCAATTTCCATAGGGGAAAAAATCATCTGTTGACTTGAGCAGCAAGTTTCAAGTAAGCTTTATTACTATATTTGAAACTCAGAGGGAATAAATCATAGCCCCTTACTGCTTCTTCCAGACTCTGGGCATCAGGGTGGTCGTTGGACGTGTGCCTAAGGATCTCCTTCAGGAGAAGAGGGTACTTGACCAGACGACTGCGAGGAATATCCAGGAAGCTCCAGAGGTCCAGCTTGCGGCTGAAAGGAGACTCAAGGCAACGCTGCAGGAAGTCCTGGACTCGAGCGTCTTGCTTTTTCTGGTCTAGGAGGGCTTTGGCGGCCAGCTGGTTACTGCAGTAGGCCTTGTAGGCGTTCAGTCCAGGTAGCTGGAGAGGAGAAGACCACACCACACTTGTCAGAGCAAGCCCTGCTCCAACAGGGAAATGTGCTCCTTCTGTAACTACAGTCTTACAAATGAAGTTGAGCAATTGCCAAAATTTGGCTCATACTTCCTTAAAACAGCAAGTGGTAAAGAAAAAAAAAAGAAAAAGAGAACAGAAAAGAAAAGAAAACAGGAAAAAAAAGAGCATGCCACATCCAGTTCTGCCAGAATTTATGGCTGCCTCTTAATGAAGAGAGTTATTTATGTAGTTTTTATTGTATTTTTATACTATTTTTACTGTATTTTGATTAATATTTATTTTTTATTTATTATAAACCACCCAGAGTCACTTCCTAGTGAGATGGGCAATGACCAAATTTGAAATATAAATAAATAAATAGTTAGCTTAAGGATCTAAGCTATTCCACATACAGGTAATCCTCGACTTATGACCATTTGCTTAGCGACTGTCTGAAGTTACAACAGCACTAGAAAAAGTGACTTATGACTGGTCCTTGTACTTACAACTGCCACAGAGCCCCCACGGTCACGTAATCAAAATTCGGGCACTTGGCGACTGGCACGTATTTACGATGGTTGCCGTATCCCAGGGTCACCTGATTGCCATTTGCGACCTTCCCAGCTGGCTTCCGACAAGCAAAATCAATGGGGAACCACGTGATTCACTTAACGACTAGTCGTGTGATTCACTTAACGATCACCACAAAATGTCATAAAATCGGG